AGCACATGATACGTATCCACTTATTTAATTCCCACACTCACACCACGAAGTCGGCGTGACGATTATTACAGAGATCCCAGGAGAGGGATTTTAGACAAGTGGAGATAAAATACTTTCAGGGCACAAGTAGAGCTTCCTAGTGGACAAGTGGAAAAGGATCCTGGAGCTCAGGAGAGAGGTCAGGGATGGAGAGACCCTGAGCGTGGCCACCAGCTAGCTGCCAGGGAGGGGCTGGAGAAAGCGGAGAGCACATTGGAGAGGTAGAAGGGGGCCCACCAGGAGTCACCCGGAATCCATAGGTAGAGATGGTTCAAGAAGAAAGGGGCAGCCCACAGCATAGATGCCTCAAAACCTGAGAAAAGGCCACTGGTTTCACTTATCACTGACTTTCCCATTTCTGTGTGTGTGTGGGGGGGACGTAGAGTGGGAAAGCCAGGTGGCAGATGGTTGGGGAGGGGCCTGGGATGAGCCCACAGGAACTCCTGGAGGAATTGTGGCTGGAGAAAGAAGCAGAGCCTCCGTATTCAAAGCATGGTTCATAGCATCACCTGGGAGCTGGTTGGAAATGTGGAATCTGGGGCCTGCTCTAGGCCTACTGAATTAGCATCTGCATTTTAATGAGGTCCCCAGGAGATTCTATGAGCATTAAAATCTGAAAAGTACTCGTGCAGAGATGTAGGTTGGTCTCTAGATGTCAAGAGAGGTGACATTCAATATGGGGATGTCCCTAGTGAGTTTGAGGTCAAGGAGGAGATGGAGGGAGAGGTGAAGACCCTGGGGTGGAGCTGAACTTGGGGGTGTTGTGTTTATGGCTTCGTGGGGGTTGGGTGTTGTGTGGGACTCATGGGTAGGGTTAGGGGGTGTAGCGCTGGGTGGTACTTCTCTGTCCCATGGCTGAGAGCTCCCCAGGGGGAGGGGGGATATCCCCGCTCCCATCTGTGTGTTGGAAAGAGGAATGTGTAGAGGTGAGTGTGTGTGTGTGTGTGTGTGTGTGTGTTTGAGGTTTTTGGCATGTATGAACGGGGGAGATGTGGGGCAGAGCTCATGTGTATCTTTTGTATGTTTTTGTGTTTTTATAAGTTAGAAGTCAACAAATGGAAGTTTCATACGGTCCATCCTATTATGTGCATGTCCCAAGGCGAAATTGATGCGTAGGCAGGGAATTGTGGAGTATCAGGGCTTAGGAGACTGTCCTAAGCTTGAACAGCCCTCCTGCTGGACTCAGGGAACTCAGGGCCCTACCCGACCTGTCCTCCGTGGAGAAGGACGCGGGTTCCGCTGTCCGCCCGCAGTTTGTAATTACACACTATTGCCACGAGAGGGCAGTGTCGGCCCGGCCGGCGATACGAGGACGGAGGGAGCTCCCAGCGAAGTTACAGCGATCTGTTCGAGGGGGCGAGTGAGAACCGGTCCGGGGCAGCGGGTTGGGGGGCCGACTCTTGGTGCCTTTGTGCCCAGGCTTGCCGCCTCCCCCTCCCCGGGCTCTGGCTGCCCCCACCCCAGCCAACGCCCTTCCAGAGCCACCCCATCTTCCCGCGCCGCTCTCGCATCTCGATACCCCCAACCCTCCTGCAAGTAGACCAGCCCGGGAGTGGGGGTGGGGTGGGGTGAGGGAGTGAGGATGCAGCCAAAGGGGGAGTCAGGGGCAAAGGCGTTGAGGGGAGTGGGAGGTTTTATTGGGGGCAAAGGTGGGAGGAGGGGGCTCAGGCTTCCTCAATCGGGACACACGAAGGGAGCGCCCACTGTGGATCGGGCAGGGTGCTGGGCGAGTGGACCCGGGGACACAGGGCTCGGCCCTTGCCTTGACCTGGGGTCAGGGGCCCTGGTTTCGAGTCCCAGCCTCACAGACTGATCTCGGGCTGGCTTTGAGCAAGACCTTCACTCCCCCTGCAGGGGTTCTCCTTTTCATCTTCTCAATGGGGAGAAAGCTGGCTTCCCTCCCGATTCACCGGGATTCACCGGTCTTTGCAGGTCGGACTGAGAAACCCCAGGGAAGGTACCAATGTTAGTGTGGCAGGGCAAGGGCAGGGGCGGGGAAGGGCAAAGCCGAGGGTAGCGAGGCCAGTGGTGTGGGCGCAGCTAAAGGAGACCAGGGGAGCCACTGCAAGATTTTGAGGAGTGGCCCAATCTCAGCTGGGCTCCTAGAAGTTAAGGGATGGTGGGGAGAGGTGGTGGATCCCAGGCAGAGACCAGGGGTCTGACAGTGGGAGTGGAAAGAGGAGCTGGTGGTTACAATTAGGGTATACTTGATAAAACAACAAGAACAAAAACCCCAAAACACCAAACACCTTTTTTTTTTCATTATAAAAGTAAGTTAGGAATATTACTGAAAACTGGATAAATAAAACCTATCTAGCCTACAATATAGCTGCTTTTGCATTCGGTCTTTCTTTCCAAGCTCTTTTACATTAAACAAACAAGGCTGGCTGTGTTATTGTGTACCTATAAATATTTTCCTGATTTTCACTTAGGATGTCAGGAACATTTTTCATATTATGTCCTGTATTAGTTTCCTAGGGTTGCCCTAACAAAGTACCACGGGCTGGGTGGCTGAAAATAGCAGAAATGTATGGTCTCACAGGTGGGGAGGCTAGAAGTCCAAGATCAAGACGTCAGCAGGGCCACCTGAAACCTGTAGGGGCGAATCCTTCCTTGGCTCTTCTAGCTTCTGGTGTTTGCTGGCAATCCTTGGCATTCTTTGGATTGTAGATGCACCATTCCAATCTCTGTCTTTGGGGTCACATGGCTACCTTCTCCCTGTGCGTGTCTCTTCTTAGAAGGACACCAGACATATTGGATTAAGTGCCACCCTACTCCAGTATGACCTCATCTTAATGAGTTAAGACTGCAACATCCTTTTTCCAAATAAGGTCCTAATCCAAGGTACTGGGGGTTAGGACTTCAACATATCTTTTTGGGGGACACAATTCAACCCGTCGCACTTCCTAACTGTGCCTTTTAGTGACTAAGATTTCAGTAAGGGTAAAATTCCCTCATCTATTCAATTAATTTCTATTATTAAACATTTGATTTGCATCCAACTTATATATGATTATAAATGTAATTACCATTTCATGCATAACATTTTCCTTTATACTGTTGAATGATTTTTTAAGGATAAATATTCAGAAGAGGGAATATCTGATCAAAGTTTATGAAAGGTTGTGAGTACATTTTCAGTTTGGGGAGAGGTATATGGTGTGAAGGGATGAAGCACAACACAGAAAAGAATTACCCACAGGCTCATCAGCCAGAGAAAGCTTCCACGAGTCTGTTGTATTTTTTTTTTTTTAAGATTTTATTTTTAAGTCATCTCCACACGCAAGGTGGATCTGAAACTCAAAACCCAGAGATCAAGAGTCGCAGGCCCACCAACTGAACCAGCCAGGCGCCCCCTGCTGTATATTTTTATATACATTTACTACCCGTATTTTTTTTCTGAGTTAAGATCTTAAGGTAGGTAACATTTTGTATTCTGTTTTTCCCACTTAAAGTCCCAAACAGCTTCTCATCTCATAAACTTCATGATCAACTTTTGGGTGACTGCATAATGTTACACTATAGGAACATTTTTAAAAATTTATTATTGAATATGCTGTTATGATACTTCCAAGTTTTCACTCTTAGAAATAAACTGTGGTACACATTTTATGCATATATTGCTGAAATAAGTTTATTTCAGTAAGTGCCCAGAAACTGAATTCCTAGGTTAAAGTGCATAAATGCTCCTGAGTCTTTGGAAGTTGCTTTTCAAAAGGGTTGTACCAATGCACACTCATCAGCTGTGAATGGACGAGTATGTCTATTTGCCAACCTTCCTTGCCAGCAGTGAGTTTTATCTTTTTATTTATTTTTTTTAAGTTTTGAAATCTTCCCAGGTAAAACATGGTATTCTGTTTTGTCTTTTTTGGTGACCAGCCATGCCATTTGTTCTTTTTTTTTAAATTATTTATTATTTATTTATTTATTATTAACATATAACGTATTATTTGTTTCAGGGGTACAGGTCTGTGATGCCATTTGTTCTTATGTTACCTTTCCTCTTTCGGAAGTTGTCTCTTCATGTCCATTTGTCTTTTTGGATCCTAATGTTTTACGTAGAGATCTGTATATTCATTTTACATATAAAAGATATTACCCTTTGTCATATCTGCCATATGGATTCTTTTTTAGTCTGTTGACTCATTTAAAAACTAGTTATTGGGAAATGCAAATCAAAACAACAGTAAGGGGCACCTCACTGGCTCAGTTGGCGGAGCGAGCGACTCTTGATCTTGGTGTCGTGAGTTTGAGCCCCATGGTGGGCATAGAGATTAATTAAAAAAAAATAAAACAACAAACAAAAACCCCCACAACAGTAAGATGCCACCTCACACACATTAGGATGCCTACTGTCAAAAACACCAAAAAGTAACAAGGGTTGGCGAGGATGCGGAGAAATTGAAATCCCTGTGCGCTGTTGGCGGGAAAGCAAAATGGTGCAGCTGCTGTGGAAACAGTATGGAGTTTCCTCAAAAAGTTAAGCTGATAGGGCGCCTGGGTGGCTCAGTTGGTTAAGCGACTGTCTTCAGCTCAGGTCATGATCCTGGAGTCCCGGGATTGAGTCCCACATCGGGGGGGGGGGGGGTCCCCGCTCAGCGGGGGGTCTGCTTCTCCCTCTGATCCCCTTCCCTCTCGTGCTCTCTGTCTCTCATTCTCTCTCTCTCAAATAAATAAATAAAATCTTTTTTAAAAAATTAAGCTGGTAGATTTTATGTTACGTGTATTTTTTTTTTTTTTGGTGTCTATGTTATGTATATTTTGCTACAATTTAAAAAAAAAAACCTAGGGAAGAAGAAAATACAACAGATATCCACTAAAAAAACTTAATGAATTTTACCCTGTGTAAGGTATTTCTGTGTGCTGGGCATGGAGATTATAAAAAATAAGATGTCAAGGTGCCCACACACCATGAGGATCCAAACTGAAACTGACATTCACAACACAGTCTCATCTACGCTTTGATAGAGGATGGAGAATGGAGCAGCCGGGTGCCAGGGAGCGTTCAGGGGCGATAGCCAACCCAGACCGGGTAAGGTGAGGGGTGGGCGTGAGGGGAGGGAAAGTTCCTGGTGGGCTCCATCTGGGACAGATTAGGAGCGAGCCTGGCAAAAAAGAGGGGGTTCATGCGTCATTTCAGTTACGCTTTTATGACACACACCTGTGTTTAACGCTTCTGTGGGCAAAGCTGTTGACCTTTCTCCTGTGATTTCGTCCCGTCCTTTATACTCATAAAGGCCTCTTCCCTCAAGAGGTCTGGCTGTGCCTGCTTCCTAATTTTCTGTGGTTCAATGTATTTTTACACGTAACTCCTTAGTCTACTTGGAAATGACTTCGATGATGGGCGTGGGGTCCAGGGGGAGGATAAGGGACCCCAGTGGGAGGGCAGAGAGGCAGAAAGGGGATGTCGGGCGGCTGATACTGTCTTCATTCTGCTGTCCTCCTTCCTGGCATGGTGACTCTGGGACTTCTACACCGTTGACCCTCTTTCCTCCCTGTGGTTGTTTGAGGTGATGGGTGGGGTGGGTATGTAGCAGAAGCCCTGGGTGATTGGAGGTGATGATCCAATAAGACCCTGCTGGCCTTGAAGCATGAAGGATGCAGGGCAGACTGCTGTAAGGACTTCCAATATAGGGATTGAACAGGACGGGATGGAAGCGTATGTGCCATCACTGCTACTCAAGCTATCACTCTGTCTCAGTTTCTCCCTCCTTATAAATACAGTTGACCCTTGAACAATGTGGGGTTTAGGGATGTCAAAAATCTATGTATAACTTTTGACTCCCAATACCCTACTGTTGACCAGAAGCCTTATAGATAACATAAAGAGTCGATAAAATAAACATAATTTTATAATTTAGATGTACTATATACTGTGTTCTTACAATAAAGTAAGCTAGAGAAAAGAGAATGCTATTAAGAAAATCACAAAGAAGAGAAAATATATTTATAGTACTGTATTGTATTTACCAAAAAAACCTGCGTATAAGTGGATCCGTGTAGTTCAAACCCGTGTTGTTCAAGGGTCTTGGATAATTTTATTTATCTGCTTGTTCACTTGTTTTAGGCTGTGTTCTTGCTGGACCATAAGTTCCTAGAAGGCACGCATCTTGTCGATCTTGTTCCCTGTCGTATTCCCAGTGCTCGGAGTAGGGGCTGGTACTGAGCAGGTGCTCCTGGAGCATGGGGTGAATGAATAAGAGGAAAGAATGACCTCTTTGTGCTGACCCCTGGGGGTGGAAGGAAACCAGGACGAGCTGCCAATCTGAGCCGTCTGTTCCAATGCCTGTGGGCAGATTGCTGGATGAGGGTCTGAGGATTGGGACCCCCCAATCTGGGGCAGACCCTTTATGGTCTGGTTTTAGGGCCTGCACTCCTGCATTCTGGGGGGGGGAAGGGGGCTGAGGGTCCTAGGGCGTCTCCCACCCACAAATGCCCTCTTAGCTGAAGCTGGGGCTGGGCTGGAGATGAGGCAGAGGCTGGGCCTCTGTCTGGGTCCAAAGGGACGGGGCTGGGGCAGGCAGGGCTGAGTCAGGAAGGCGGCTGTTCCTGATGAAGTTTCCTGTCTCAGGGGCTCAGAGACATTCATTACAGCCAGGAGGAGAAGTAATTAAGCCAGAGAGCAGCAGGGGTAGGGGGAGAGGGAGGCCTGGTTTTCTCAGGAGGCTCCTGATAAAATTAATAAGGGCAGAGGAGGGGAGGGCTACGCCCAGTCTGGGAATATTGGTAATAGAGTCGTGGCTTCAGGGCCGGAGTCACCCACATCTGTGCTGACCACCAGAGGAGTGGACGCAGAGGCCCGAGGAATATGTCGCCATCTGGCTCCATGAGGGCAGCCTGAGACAGAGGAGAGAGCGCGGATCAGGGCCCCATTGGCCTGAGCTCTTGCCCCAGTGTCCATTTACCTGCTGTGGGACTGGGGCAAGTTGCTTAACCTCTCTGAGCCTCAGTTTCTTTATCAGTAAAACGGAGCTAATAACGCAGACCTTACAGGATTGCAGTGGGGCGTCAATGGGACACGCTCAGCAGGGTGCCCGGCATGCTGCAGACACACGTGGAGCTGGGATTCAAGAGACAGTTTGTGGTGGGTGGGCGTGAGAATCCATCCACATGTGAGCGGGTGACGGGGTGGAGGGGCAGGAGTGTGCGGGCTCCCCCGACATTGGCTCGTGGTTCTGAGTCCTGGGGCAGGCATAAGAGCCCCAGCTATGGTTTAACAGACATCTGCTCTGTGGTTTTCTCCATTTTCTGTGGTCCTTGCAATGGCCTTGCAAGGGTATTATTCCCATTTACAGATGAGGGAAACTGAGGCTCAGAAAGGCAAAATCAGTGGGCTGTAGAACTGAGATTCCAGTTTAGGCCTGTCTGGGGCCACAGTCCTCAAAGGATCCTTTCCTTTGGGCTGCAAGAAACCCAGTCTTGGGGGGAACCGTGGGGAGCAATGGGGGCACCTAGCCTCCTCCACAGATACCCCAAATGCCTCCCCTCTTGGACATACACTTGGGTATGTGTCTTCAGGAGAGAAAGAGCTGGACGCTCACCTCTCTTTATGGGCCAAGGGGCCCACCCTGTTGCCTACTCCTGGCCAATCTTGGGTCTCTCCTCCTCCCAGGCACTGAGCCTGGCCTCTGCTCTTTTCTCTGCTGGTACCACAGCCCTTCTGGGCTCTGGTCCTTCCTTGGGCCTCATTCCTGGCTGGAGGCTGGAGAAAGTGGGGAGAGGGGGCCAGGCTTTGGCTCTAGGGCAGGGAGGTGACAGGCAGAAGACATTAGGTTATAGTCCTGAGGCCTTCTGACAAGATGGGGAGAGGGGACAGGGAGCTGGTGGACAGGACGAATTCCCACCCTGCAGGGGGCAGGCAGGAAAGAAGGGGTGGCAGCAGGTGGGGTTTAGGTGAGAAACCCGTGCGCCAGGCAGGCCAGCCTAGGGGCAGCTCTCAGGAAGTCTGGGGATCCCATGAGGAGGAAGTGGGGTCTCCCACCCCTGAGCAAATGTCAAAAATATGGTTCGCTGGCTGGGGCTAGAGTGCCAAGAAAATAAAGAGAACAATGTTTTATGGATTATACATTTTGTTTTTAATTATTTTATTTTAATTATTTCTTGTTTTTGATTTTCTCAGTTAAAACTTTTCTGATTATAAAAGTAATATCCATTGCAAATTATAACAATTACATAAAAATATAAAGAAAAAATAACCTGTAGTTCCATCCCAAGAGATGACTATCCTTGACATTTTTTAAAGATTTTATTTATTTATTTGAGAGAGAGAGTGAGCGAAAGAGCAGGAGTGTGTGTGGGGGGAGGGGAGGCAAAAGGAGACTCCCCGCTGGGCAGGGAGCCTGACAAGGGCTAGATCCTGTGAGGACAAGGGCCTAGATCCTGGGACTATAGGATCATGACCTGAGCCGAAGGCAGATGCTTAACCGACTGAGCCACCCCAGCTGCCCCCATCGTTGACATTTTTATGTACAGAATATCCCTGAGAGATTTCCTTCCATGTATAGACATAGACATGTGTATTTTTATAGACTTGGAGCCATTCTATATGTACTATTTTTATGTACTTGGCTTTTTTCACCTGTAAGCATATGTCCTAAATATTTCCATGTCATTCAACAATTTTCTAAAATGTGATTTTTAATGGCTTCATTAACATAGTACATCTTTCATATATACTATAATTTACCCATTGTTGGATATTTGGGAATTTTGTGTTGTTCCCCTTTTTGGGTGTTTTGTTAGTTGCTGCTTTGCTGAGTATCCTCGTACTTACCCCTGGATATATCTACTGGTTACCTTCACGGAAATGGGAACCTGGATAAAAGGTAGACACCCATGACTCTAAACCAGCCTTCTGAAAATTCTCCTACAGTCTCCTCTTTAGTGTTCGCCAAGGGGCTGGTCATGGCCTGGGCAGCACTGGGTGTTAGCGCTGAAAAAAAAAAAATCTCCGTCCCCCAATTTTTTAATTGGGAAAAAAGTATCTCTTTCTTTTAATTTGTATTTCTTTGATTAATAGTGAAATAAAATAAATATTTTTCACATTTATTAGTTACTTGCGTTTTGTCCTTGCTCAGTTTTTCAAACAGGGATCTGGGTCATTTCTTTATTGATTTGTAGGTACTCTTTCTATATTCCAGACCTTAATGCTTCTTTGGTTGTATATGTGGTAAATATGTTTTCTTAAGTTTGAGGCCTGCCTTTTATTTTAGTTTTTTTATTATATAGAGAAGTGTTACATTTTAATGTAGTCCAACTTATACAATTTTTGATATATTTATTTCACTTGTTTTTGTATTGAGAAGGGCCTTTTCTTTTATCACCACTTTCCTACAAGTTTGGAGGAGGAACAAAGTCATGCCCAGTACCACCGCCTCATGCAACCAGACTGGATTTAATTAAGAGCAAAATCGAGATTTAACGATCTGACCAAGCCCCGGTCTAGACTTCGGCAATCAATTTCAGTGACCTCAGAGCCTACTCCGTGCCTGCCACCCAGATACCAGCTGCTTCCTCCGCTGTGCCTCATGGTCTTCCTCTGTAAACTGACGAGGCTGGACTAACCCGCTGGCCGCTCAGGAGGAGGTCCCCGCAGGCTCCGGGTTCAGACAGCGCCAAGTTCAAATCCATACGCTAAGGTTTCCACCTAAGTAAGCAGTTTCCACCTCCGCAAAATGGGAATAGTAACAGTGCCTCCCTCACCGAGTGGTTGGGAAATTTGTTGCGAAAATGAAATCAGATGATTGTAATGCTTCTCAGGCAGCGCCCCAGTTAAGCGCCCCGCGCCCCAGTTAAGCCTCGGTCAAATCAGATACTAGTAGTAGTACTAATAGTAGTGTTTAGGAATTCCTGACCAGCCTCCTGCTGCCACCCCCTGGGAATCCAGGTCAAGACGTGGGTCCCTGGCTGGGTCGCCGCCACCAGGGGAAGGAGGCCCGGGCAGACAGACGAGCACCGGGCCGCCAGGGCTGGTGGCTGAGGCCGGGCGGGGTGGGGGGCTCCCCCGGGGGAAGGGGGACCAGGGCCGTTGGG